GATAATTTCTAATGAAAGAATTAATCGCGAAAATAATATGGAAAATAATAGGATTTCTTTTGTGAAATTTCATTTTTGAGTTATGCTGTTTTTTTGAGAAATCGTCCCCCCCTTTTCGATTCTTTTTTTCAAAGATACTCTCAAAAATATTTTCAATCAATCGTCAAGTACCAGGCAGAGCTCGCTTCACGTGCTCCAATTGTTCTTCATCTAATTATTTAGTAATATCCTTTTCGATCGACTGTTTTTCTTCCGTTTATCATACAGTTGTTTATTTTATCGTATGCTAATAACTATACTTATCTTTTGTATAGTTATTTTTCCATTTTCTCATACTGTAGCATTGTGTCTTGGGTTTGCATAAAACTCGACAATGCATTACAGCATAGCGCAGTCTGATTTTTCGTGACGCGACCACTCACTTTAAAGCACTTTCTGAAATGCCACGGCCATATCGCGCCCACTCTGTCGTGAATTCATCCGCATCGCACATACGTGTATACAGTAATTTGCACGAAGAGTATGCATACGACGAAGGTTGACTACGGGTGAAACCGGTGATCGATTAATAGTAAAGTGAACGGACTTAATTTCGTTAGACACAATAAGTTGGAGTAAATATGCGAACGTAGATCGTGATACGTGAACCCTTCAAGATTACGTTTTGCCGATAAGAAATAGAACTAGAAACGACACACCGATCCGTTTGCCTAAGCGATGATATTTTCCGTTCCAACGCGTACGAGCTAACGCACGACGACGCGTCCACCACACGTGACTGCTTGATTTAGCGCGTCTCTCTATGCGGAAAACATTATAAATCGGGAATTTAATGCAAAACGCCGCTCGACATTTATGCGCAAATAGAATAAATTTGCGGTAAATCGATGGAAGAGACACTCGACGGGAGGACACAATCGCGTCTCTCGTTAATACACACATTTATAGGAAAGCTGTATAAAAATTTCATAAATTAATAATAAATTCAAACGATATACGTCTACAGATAATTTCTTCTTATTCTTTTATTTTTCTAATGCATTGTACTTTGTTACAATAAATATTTTCCTGTTTCTAGTTTTCTGTATTTTCAATCTGACGTTTTTTCATATCAAAAACACAATTATATTATAATGTATGTTGCATAATGCGCCATAACGTACATTTTAACAGCTTAATTACCGTGACGAAAGAACGAATCGTAAAATATCGCGCGCTCTCCGTCAGTCCGAGACAACCGATTGCGTCAAACGCGAGTGTTGAAGAGTGTTAGGTGCACCATAGATCGTAGTTTGGATGCAGCATGGCACACATAATCATATTGGCATTCTATTAGGGGGTGTCTTCTCCCTCTGCCGGCTTCTGCTTCCTCCCTTCCATCTAACGCACACCCTCCTTTGCCTCATACCAGGCCATCCTGCAACCCTCCAGCATACGTCAATCGATAGTGTACAACATGATTATAATATCTCGTACGTCGAAATAAGAAACTGTCCTGTTTTTTTTCGGACGTCAATTAATAAATTAACATTTACGCAAAAGAACATTATTTTATATTATCGGGTTAATAACTGAAAAAATGGTGCAAATCGAAGATTTCGATCGTTAACTTTTTTCTCACAGATCAGGACCAATGACATGCATGCGCACAATCTTATCTCTTTTACATATAATTTATGTAGTAAATAGTTGTATAATATTCATATAAATTATTTTATACAAATGATTAATTTCTCTTTATCAACACATTCAATCGTGTTTATCATGTTTGGACTCCTAATAAGAATGAGAAACACCTTCTCAACGATATATACAATTATTTATATTTAGAATACGTTGATATGTTAAATTCATTTAGCTATCAGAGCAACAAATCGATATGTATGAAAGAGAAGAAGAGAAGAATCGAAACAGAGCAGTATCGGGATGCACGGGGGACAGCAAAATAGACTATAATATGCGTTAGATATAAGCGCTTCCATTACGCGTCTTCTTTCAAACAGTTCGAAATGTGGATTAACGTTAGGCGGAATTATTAGGTAACGTGAATGATAGTGTTAACTTGCTGGATGCATGGATTATTAACACGGCTTACATGATTTACGGTTAATAGCTAATAACCACGTATTACGTAACGACGTTGATGCGGTTACCATCTGCTATTTTGGTCTTGATTGCTGTCTATGTGCCTCCACAACCAAATCAGAGGTATGATACTATAGCGTTAATAAACAACAATTACCATGGAAAATAATGTAAGATATTTGTGCAAGAGTCACAGTCTTCATTTATCACTTCCTTTTTCGATACGTGTGTTCTTTTTTTTCAGGTATATAAGCTCTTTCGATCTAAATGAGACTAAATTACATAAGAGTATTATATAATTCTGGTATATTAAAGTGCTCAGTCGTATGCTAATATGAGTTTTATCTCTTACTCACGAAAACGACCAAAATGTTTTCGTTGCGTAACTGCTCGAATGAAAGGAGTCGATAAGACAAATTTATCAAATCCAAAAAGAAATCGCCTTTGAACCGGAACGGCACGAACGCAAGTGTACGCAAATAATAGCAGCAAACATTCGCCGACAAATGTACGTTAGAAGTTTGGGAGGAAAGTGATGAACGACGATAAACGGTATTTAGTAAGATACACATTCTCTCGACCGCATCATACATAATTTAACGCAAACACGCGCGAAGCAAGATCAAAAGTCAGAAATACGTAATTTCACGCGATGAACGAATGCATAGGGATGATTACAGCCGAGCTAACATGAACTATGAGATTCCACCAATATAAATCATCTTTCATCTCTTTCATCTCAAAGTACATAAGAAAATTACTAAAATTTGTCTTTGTTTTAAAAAAAACTGGGAGATGCATTGAAATGATAAAAAATTCCGAGACCTATAAAGGTGTCCAAGCAGGAAATTCTTTCTCGATTATTCAGTTATCTATTATATGAAATAAGGCAAAGAGAATTTCATTTATTGAAGTACAATATTATCTGCCTTAAACGTAATTGTCGATTGCATTACGAGTCCGCGTGCGTACTACGAGAGAGAGAGAGAGAGAGAGAAACAGAATACAAAGGTTAAACGGAGTGTAACACGCGTGGGTGGAACTGCGATAGAGTGGTGGAGTTGAAGAAAAACGAGAGGGAACGAGTAGAGAATAGAGAGCGAATTCATACGATCGACTGTGCGTAAAATTATTCCAAAACTTATTACTCCTGCTGGCTATGACCGTAGCTATGGCAACGAGACGCGGATATGAAAATTAATACGCACTGGGAAAACAGAAAGTTTTCAGAATGTTTTCCCATTACCGGCAGCACTCGCGATGTTCGTACCGATTCGTTTCTGACTGGCAACTAATTCGTCCGTAGTTGTGTAATTAGCTGCATTTTTATAACGATGCGACGTCGTTCGTGTCGCTTTTTTCTTTGAAGAAACACACATCATCCATGCTATGTTGCCGTCTCAAAATCAAAACTAATACGACTTTAAAACTTAACTTCAAGTTACTTGATTGTCAAACTCCAGCCGGATAAGTTATTTATTCGTAAACTGAGAATTATCAACTAATGATCAGAACGACAGTGTGTTTTAAAAGAACATTATATTTATATTTATTGTTGAAATTACCTCAATCACTTTAACAAACTCGTTATACCCGCTGAACATTTAATTCGTCCAAATCGTGAATATCTTTTCACGATTATGGAATGAATCTATGATTTACTATGTAACTCCAAATATATTTCAGTGCGCATATAACGGTTACATTGTTGATAATTATCAATTTTATTCTTTTAATTGTGCGGATACAAATACAATGGCTTTATAATCCATCAAAATGGTAGAAATATTTGACAATTTAAACTTTTATAATATAGGCAACAACAGCTTTCGTAAATAATTGAATTAATATTTAAATGTGTATAAAAATGTCATAGATTGGAAAATTTTATTCTTTTCAACTAATAACAAAAATCATTTTTTAATTATATATGTCATTTTATGCAACAAAAATAAATAAAAAATCTCTTAGATTTACATAGTTTTTTAAATTATTAATTATTATAAAAAATACAATTAAATACGCAATTCTGCAAGTAAAAAGAATTGTAATGTGTATGGTAAAGTAAAGCAGCGTTGAACAACTCAACGTGTATTCGTGCATCGTGAAAGTCGCTTGAATATTTTAATCGCGAGAAAATGATAAGTGATTTTAAAAGGCTTATAAATAGACCGCGTTTTTTTTTTCAAAGACTGCTTAATGTTGCTACATTCTTTCTGCATCTTGAAAAATACAAAAATTTGTCGTATAATTTTTAACATAACGCCAGCAGCAGCGGCGACACCGAACAACGAGAACGAACTAAAGTGACGTGAATCGATAATCGAACGCTGAGAGAGGGTGAAGCACGTAGAAATTATATTATCTTTTTCTTGTCGCGTACTACGTCGAACCTAATAGCCTGACGTCATCGATGGGAATTTATAGTCTCTCATAACGGAAGATTTATTTTTAAAAATTATATGTCCTGCATTTTGAATAATACAGGAAAATCCAGATTGATATAAATTTGTTTATAATTGAATTTATAATGTAGATTTATCTCATGATTATTATAGATAGATTCATTTTTTTTTTAGTACACTATAAACAATTTCTAAATGTATTAACAACAATTAGCTGATTGCGTGTGCAGTACGACTTGATTTATGCATAAACTTATATAGAAAAGTTAATAGGAAGCTCAAGATTCAAGCATTGAATGTTAGATAGAGGTGTCGTTTGAAATTTGCATACATTAATAATATAACAAACGATGCGCGGCGACACTTACAATTAGTGAAATACATTATAATACGTGCGAGTTATTAATATCTAGACACTGTAAAGATTATTTTAATTGAATCTTAACACAATATTGAATATTTTCATCGAATAATCGTATGTGATACGAAATATGTAAAAAACAATATAAACAATAACTCTAGATTTTTTTAGGCCCCAGCAGTCTTTTCATATTCAGAATTTTAGCCTTAAACACAACTATCCCACATATACATACATATATTTTAATTTTGTATATTTCATTTACCTGAGATATTCTTGAATACTTTATGAATACAAATGCCAACAAAAGATAAACATTCTTGACACAAGATACATGACCATGAATAGGATATTGCGACATACAAATTTTTCCATTCTAACAGAAGTCCAAGGTCCGATTTTCGCTTGGAGACAATTGAGCTATATATGCATTATGTTTATATATCTTTAAATAAAAAACAATATTGTCTCGCTTTGCCGATATTTTCTGTTTCCCTCTTTTTGTGTATAACTGGTTATCCTACTTACCCTATATAAGCCTTATTTCGTCGCAACTGTGCAAAGTGACGCATCTGCAGAAGGCAAAGCTGAAACTGGTGGTTGAATGGTGGCAGTAGCGAGAAAAGATATTTAGCATGCACGGGAAGCGACCGCTGCTCATAAAGGATAGGAGGAATCCACAATGAACCGATAAGCGAATAATCTCGCGAGAAAAAGGGAAGAATATGAAGGGGTAATGGAGCAGGGAGAAAACCTGTCAAGTTGAAGCAAGGCGGAGCGAGTGCTTTAAATTCAGGATCGTCCCCCTGCCCCTCTAAATTTTTTCAAAAAATTCATTAATATTTAATACTCTGAGATACATGTCATGTTGTCACAATACTACTATACTACGCATAACTACTACTAAGTATATAATATTTTTTACAAAAATATGCACAACCATGATAATTAGGCAATATCGATAATAAATATAAACAATAAGACCATTCTTTTACATTTTCGAATTATATACGATCATTACAAACTCCGACAGTCTTATTACAATCAGTATGAACGATTAGTTTTATATAATATATAATGGCAGATAAAATGTGTGAATACTTGGGAAAGATTTATTCGAATATCAAACGCACCTCACTGTCGCGCTCTTCGCTTTTTCATCCTCTCGATTCACAGTTTTTTGCTTACATACGCACACATTGGTATTATTCCAGCATCTTCTTTGAAACGTCAGGCAATTATATTTATCCTTCCACATCGGCACCGAGAGATGCAGAATTGAGCTCCTTGCAGAATTGAGCGCAAAATACTTTCTCATTGGATTAAGAGAAGGATTTCCAGTTCAACGCTCATGTGTCACCTGCGTAAGAGAGAAAACGACGAGTTTCTATAGAAGAAAATTCATCCAAACACGGAACAACTTGTCATTATAAAGTCGTAAAAAGAATCTGCTTTCCAGATTAAAAACAACTAAGATTGCGTTATTGTCTCATTTTGGTCACGCGCCTGATTGCGCCGGATTGCGCCGGATTGCGCCGGAAAATATGTATTTCATTGATATTTTCAACTGCAACTAGCAATATTTAATGACCGCTACCAATGCTGACGAAAATAAATCAATATGCAATAACAAAAATGAAAATCTCAATGGAAGAATAATGTATAACATCGTTATCGTTTAAACATGATTATTCTATATTCGTTAAAAAATTCACACGTGCATGAAGCGAGTGAATAAATGCTTTCCGTCAGTATGTAGCATAATAAAGTATAATAAAAACTTGTACGCTGGTTCAATTTAGTCCATAATCTAATTAACAATAAATTATAACTAATGAGAAATATCATGCCTGTATTAAAAATTCCATCCGTTCCGGGAACTGACGCTGTTTCAGTGCACAATGAGTACTTTATAATTGGGACATAGCGTAACATCGAACCCCATATAATTTCGCTGAGGCTGAGAGGAAGCCCGGCGAATAGAAGTTATACTTGCCAGAGGAGTACCTCGGATATGTTATCTCCATTAAAACATTGCGAGGATTCGGCGTGAAATTCGTATTCTAAAAAGTATAATTATAATTTGCGTATATAAAATTCAATCTCTTGTCTATTCAATGTTTCATTCGCTTTATTAAAGGAGCGTACGAACCATAAAAAAAAATATACGTCATGAGAAGATAATAAATCAACTATATATACGGCACGTATATATACGGCACGTGTATGAACTTTTGAATGACAGTAATTGCTTATGATTAATTCGACATAGCACCGACAAGATATTATTTCGTACAAAACTTGTCATTATCGAAAATTTCTGGAAGGCAAGACTTTGATACGTAATTGTAGACGTGACGATTATCGAATTCAGCACTCTTATAAGACAAATTTCTGTCTACGGTAGAAAATCAATTGGATTGATATCGTCAAATTAATTACGAGTGGAGATCAGAACTCGTCTTGCCACAAACGTTTGACGCTTTAAACGATCATTTGATGTAATCATACAAATTTTCAATATTGTGCAGCTTTTCCCTCGCGATCTTGAGGGGGATCCTGTTACTTATAAAACTTATAAAATTACCATACGCGCGTTTTTAATGACATGTCTGTCGATAATATATGAATCTTTATATCTTTCTTTTATCATTTTAATAAATACTATAATATATAATACATTATTATTTTATGCAAAATAATTATAAAAAATTTCCTTTCATAAATCATAATTTCAAATAACAAAGAGACAATGTTAAAAGTAATAAATACAAGTTATATGTAACTTACCTTTGAAGCTATTAAATATTTGCTTTAAAGGTATTGAAGATAAATTATGAATGTAAATAAATATTTGCTTTAAAGGTATTGAAGATAAATTATGAATGTAAATCTATTATAGCCGTAGCTGCAATATTAGAACACGATGAAACCATGTAGCGTCCTATTGCTACACTGACGTCATTGCAAATCAATAACATTAGTGTCAAATTGCAAAACAATTGAGATAGTATAATTCAGAAGAACGATGTAGTTTTATTCTGACATGTTATTTTAGACCGTTTTATCTCACGCGCGATTTTTATTCATTTTCTTACAACGCTGCATATGCAGATATTACAGACGCACATCCTCTGTCATAAGAACATCACAATAGGATGTAGAACCTAACAAATTGATTTCTCGACATATATACTCGAGAATGATAAATATATATTACGTTTTATTGGATGCATATGTATGTATTATGAAGCATACGATACGTCTCAATGGTTTACGTTTTGCCAATTTGTTATCATGAATATTCGAGATAATTGGGTATTACTAGACACGTTCAGATACGTTCGAAGCAAGCTGTGAAAAGTATCGATACAGTGTTCTCTGAAAACAGGTCGCATGTGAAATTAGACGATTCAAGCGATTTGATTAAATTGGAAATGGATTAATTCGATCAAGCAGAATCAGGAGATACAAAGTTAGTAACCTCTGGAAATCAAGGGTAGACTCCTTGGTATGAGAACAGGCAGCGTAAAATACGTGAAGTTATATTATGCAATCGTTATCTCTATTTTTATATGATACCACTTGTCAATTTTAGCTTTGTGTGTAAAAAATCCTCTTCTAAAAAGGAGATGTGAAGTTTATTGTTGCCGCTTTTCCGCGATGCCGATTGGTTCTCTTGCTGCGCTTACTTCATTTGCAGCTGTCATTGTATATTTTGACAGTTGTGTATAATAGGGTTAATAGTGAAATGTTAAAGATAAATAGCGCGCGCGTAGCGCGCGTCTGTAGTGTCTAGTTATTGTAAAAAGGAAAAAATCTAATGGTAAAATCATTGGTTCATTTGTCGTATTACTAACAAACGAATTTGCAACCATGACAATTTAATGACACATAGAAGTAAGAAGAATACTGATACTCGTTGTATGTACCATATGCAGCATACATATACCTGAGAAGACTCAGAAAGCCATTAGCTAATTAATGAGATCTCCTCCGGCGATGCTCGGCTTAAAGTCCGGAAAACACGTACCTAATGCCTCTCGAAACTGTGCAGCCGACTTTCGAACACCAATGAAAAAGAGACACAGAACAAAGATACTTTTTTTTACATTATGCTTCCAAATGAAATGAAGATACAAACTCATAAAGAAATGAATATAGTTGAATATCATCATTCATCCTAGCAGCTATAAGCTCAAACCATTTAAAATATATGATGACAAAACATCTGTAGTTAAAATTGTTAGAAAGGCATCAACCTATCAAGCATCTTATCACAGTATCTTATTATTTCTTTGCCACTCACATTTGCATTGCTTCAAAAATAATATAATTATCGTATATCTTGTGCATGCGCTTACGAGGTTCGATATATCAAAGAAAGCGGACTCGGTGTTATCGAGCGACGCGTCGCGCCGCGCCGAAGCGTGGAAAGGAAACAACGCCCCAAATATAAAGACCCAAGAAAAGGTCAACTAACAATAAGATTTAGCGATTCATTTTTATAACGAATTTATATTTCTATACAGTCTATCATAACTTTAATATTCGTTTTTATACTTGAAAATCAAATTCTAAAATCACGTAAACATTTTTAAATATTATTTTAAATTATTTCCGTACCTTTTATGACTTTATGATTTAATATGAATCTTAACATTTTTTTTTTTTTTCATCATTTTAAGCAAAATGAAAATTCAAATGTAAGATATACAAATGTATAGAAAATATATGTATGAAAAAAATAAAATATAAAATGTAAAATACAAAATACAAAAACGAAAATCAGTTTTAAATTAAAAGAAAAAATGTCTTTATCGCTAAGTCTTATTAAACAGAAAAAAAAAACGGATTTGATCTGATTTATGAAACTTGCAATATCTCATAAAAATCAATAGATCGCTGGCATCTCGTATTTTTATGTGCCACCGTGAGTTTTTTCATTATGGCTCGGAGCATGGTAACGCGTTTCCAAGAATTAAGTTTTTAATTGCGTCAGGAAGAAGATTTAATTTCAGGTACGCCGTGGAACTTGAAGTGGCTTCGTATTAAGATACCTTGTTTTAGCGCGTAGCGAAGTAAAGCTAAAACGGCTTAACTCTTAGGAAGAGCCGAATGAACGAGCGAGCGGACAAGGTAGGTATTCTCACGAAAGACAAGCCACGATGCCGCGACACCACGTGCTTGACGGTCCTGCGAGCGACAGTCCATTGTTTCGCGGATAAGCCGTTTTTATTAAAGCGGATGATTATTTCGACGTTGAGCATCGTTGCTGGACAGGACGAAAGCCGATCGATGCCTCTGCCATTATCATTACTACCATCTTGGCCGTTTTCACGTTTTACATCCGATCAAGCAACAAAGTGACGACATAGATATCTTTATTCCTGCAACATTATATATTTGACTTATTATCAAATGTTTGAGTAATTTAACATTGAGTACACATCGCGCAGAAAAATCTCCCTGTAAAATTTAGTCGAGAACAAATATTTGTTATTTATTTCCTATTGAATTTTAATTTACTATTCTAAAAAATATTGGTTATCAATTAGAATTAATCAAAAGGCACGTTTGTGAATTTTCTTCAGTTAATTAAGAATATCCTCTAGATCAATTTCTTTAAAAAGAACGCTCTAAGAACGAAGCTGCTCATACATGATTCGTTAAAGTGCGTTTCTCGCGACCATCGTCGATATGATTCCGATAGGAAACCTATCTAGTGGTGAGCAAAGTGGCCGAAGATGAGAGAAAGAGGGAAAGGGCAGAGGGACAATTCCGAAGAAACAAAATGACAAGAGAGAATGAGATGGAAGAAGTAAAAAAAATAAGACGTGGACGGAGAGAGGGAAAAGAGAAACACAGAACGATCCGTGTAGGTTCGTCCATGTAGGGACAGAAGGCAGCCCTGCGGGCAGCCAATCAAATAAAGTAGTCCGAGGTTGCTTTGCCGGATGCAAATTTAGCCCCTGTGGGCTTTCTGTTTCCATCCTCCTCCTCCTCCTCCTCCTTCTCCTCTTCCCGCTGTCGTTCTGCAACTGCTGAGCTGAGACTCTATACGAGTTTCCGGGACATACGGAAGTGGCTCTGTAGCCGTTCACCAATACACAACCCACTATACCCTCCCTCTTGCTTCTCCTTCGCGCTCACCCTTTCGTCAGATTATTCATTCTGACCCTTTCCAATCCCGATCGTCGAAGAATCGCTATCACAAGGGATACGTGGAATCAGTTGCGCCTTTATATGCAACGATCAAATCTTTTTGTGACACTAAGAAAAAAATGCACATAATCAATTATATAATTTATTTGATTCATGTTCATATACGATGAGAATACAGATTTACGTTGCAAATTACTTTCCATTAGAAAAGAGATAATCACACAACGATACAATAACAATAAATTCCATGACAAAGAAGATAATCTCTTGATAATAATTGCTAAAGAAAATGTTATGTATATATATATTCGCGACAAAATTACACATCTTTGAAATATTAAGCTCAAATGGTACTAATGCGGCGTGTCGCGATGTGCTCCATACCTATATACCGTACAACGGAACAGTGATACAACGGAACGGAGGAGGATTCGAGCGACGAATCGGATCGCGATGCGACTCACTCCTAATTATGTCTTAATGAAAATAAATCGCTACATTTGTAGGAGCACCGTGTCTCTTTGGGCATTTCCACGAATCACCCGTACCTCCAACCTTTGCCCACGCAGTTCGTCTTCCCCTCCACCTTCTCTCTCCCCCCCTCTCTCTCTCTCTCTTTCTCTTTCCATTCTATCGTGTTATCTTCGTACTCCACGCCACCTGTTTGATTCCTTCAAAGGGATACCAGTGTCTATTTGTCTATTTCGGTTTGTCCCGTTCTTCCCCGCCAATCCCATCCGCACGACTTGGACGGAATCCAACACAGTTCTCCCTATCCACCGCGCATCCTCTGCCTTACGTTCCAAGTTGAACAATCAATTTCAATTTCGCGAGAATCGCTTTTAAATCTCGAATTTGCCGTGCTGTTCGAAGCAACGCGATAGTATAGGGATGGGACGAGTTAAATGCTGAATCGATAATAAATCAAGACGAAACATAGAATAAGATCTCTGCATTTATTTATAATCTAATAATAACAGCAGCAATAGTAGCACAATAGGGATAATAGTAACAATATCTAATAATATATACAACCAAAAGAAATAAAATATATAAATAATAAAAAAATTTTTTTACAGAAGCGCTCGTCTACAAATGTGACTCGGGAGACAACAAACAAAACGATAATCGGAGCTTTTACAGTCGATATTCTTAAATAACCTTCTCTTTTCGAGCTTCTTTGTTATCTCTTAAGGTGATCCTAAAGCCGTGATCCTAGCCGGTTTTTTTTTCAGTTTTTTTCTTAGCACTAATCTTTTAATTGGCTTTATAGAAATGCAAAATTCTTGTCTAGAATTAAAGTACGCATCAAAATCTAGGTCATGGTGGTCGAATTTATATCGAAAACGAAAAAAAAATAATATTTTTTGTTATACGTGACGACCACCACATGTAAATTCGACCACCATGACCTAGATTTTGATGCGTACTTTAATTCTAGACAAGAATTTTGCATTTCTATAAAGTCAATTAAAAGATTAGTGCTAAGAAAAAAAAACGAAAAAAACCGGCTAAAATCACGGCTTTAGGATCACCTTAACTGAGCACATTTGTATAATTCGCGCAATTGTTTCTTACTTTTCGTTATTATGTCATTCGTCGGAATATCGCTTAGCTCAGCATCAATATCACTTATAGTACGCTGATGCATGCCAAAATCGACAAATTACATTAACAATACGTGATAAATACATACGCATCATTTGTTCCTAACGTCGGTCTCCAATGAGTGTGCTAGCTCGTCTCGTTTTCCTTTGCACGAATCGTTTCAATATTTCACACATGTCCCAGTCCACGTAATAAAAAAAACATGCCATTTCACTTGCCAATGATACATAGTATATATCACTAAATGACAAATCTCCGGAACGGATAAATTATATCACTGTAAACTTACATTATAACGATTATCGTTAATCCTAAGTAACAACGCACTAAGGTGGAGAATGCGGCATCGGCGATTCCGTCAGAAGCGGTTTCTTTCGCGATTTATATGTTTCCGATCCTTCTCATTTTCTTTATCTTTATCTTTATTTATATTAATAGCACGCAACGTTTTGTCATTCCAGTAAACGGCAATTGCAACTTAAGCTAATTAAACCCGTGTTAAACTGATTGGTTAATTATAAAATAATGAGTTAGAAATATCCGTGGAATGAATGAAACATTCGAAAAAATCCCAGATCCCAAATACGCTATATCATAAAAGATAAAGGGGAAAAAGGGCATGTGAAAGATATACTATCGATTTTACTCGTTTTATCTCGCTACATCCTTATATATAGCGTTGTCGTCCGAATAATTTGCTACTAAGCACAAGACAAGATTAGCTACATATGAATTTATACCAAGAAAATATTCTTACGCAGTCAAACAAATTTTTACATCATTACACGAGTATTCGGTAATTTCAAAATGTTCATTAGTCAAAACTCGATTGCATGTCTATTCCATACCTGTGCCTCTATCAAGGCAGAGTCTATCTAATCGAGCGAACACAATCGAGCATCGAAAAATATTATTTAGAAAAAAGAGAAAACACAGCAATTGATCGGATAATGATCTTCATGTACGATTTTACTTATTGTAGTTATGTCCGTTGATCTAACATTATTGATATAATTAATACATTTATCATGACATAAACCGAAAAAATCGCTTTATAATATTCTCTAATGACGCGATTTTTGTTCGATACTTGTTTAAACAAATTTACTTGCGAAAGTACTTGTTAACTACTATCTCATCTCTATTTCGGTAGGTCGTAATGTATATGTAGAACAAACAAAAGAGGGAATCAAAGAATATTCAGAGGCATTCTAATCGTGCTGAAAAACTGCAATCTTAGCGGTCTCGCCGACAAATGCTTCCCTAACATTTTCAAAAGACGAAGAGTGCAGAGACAAGTGCGAAGAACAGTTCAACGTTTAACTATCTCGCTGTAAGAATTTGTACATAAAATTATTCGTCAAAAATTTTGGCGCATTCCAATCAATCTCAATGTAAATATAATTTCCAGTAATCTCAATTCTAAATATAATTTCTTGTAATCTTTTACTATAGTCTTTCGAAGTCCGATAAAAGTAATAATTGTAAATATTTCTTATTTTAACCATGTTATCTTTGCGGGATACGAGCGTAAAAATTTTATAGTCACCATATGAATGAGACAGAATAAATACGAAGAATAATTAAATAGAAACATATGTGTGTGTGCGTGTGCGTGTGTGTGTATAAATACATGGAAGAAAAATGTCAGAAATTATTCACTTCATGCAATAAGAGAAATATATTTATAAAGTAAACAAATTACAAATTAACAAGAATCTTGAGACTACTCGCAAATGTGCATTTCAATCGGAAGATAATATTTATCGTAATATATTTTGCACTCGTGTTTAACGTATCTTTCAACAAATAAATACAAAAACTCTTGCATCTTGTATCATTAAATATAAAATAATCTTATGGAATATTACATAAAAAAATTACACGTATTACGTTACAAAGAATCATTATATAATTCACGTACAACCGCGATAAATTAAAAACTGAGTTAAAAACATAGTGTTTTATCATTTCTGAAATTACTGTCTGAATTCATACAGGTAACTTTGCTATTATACTTGACTTGTAATGAATCTAACATGGAAACGTGTAACTGCATAAAATCAAATCCGATCGAACCCTGATATTCCCATATATTACTGCCATAGAAAATTTATTTCTATAATTACATGAGCGTAAAAATCTTTGCCTCTTCGTCCATTGTTTCTGATTTCGAAGCGTGATATTTATGACATTTTCAAAGAATCGGTTTCTAAGTTTATCCTCATTGAAATTAAACATTGAACACGTATCTTGTTCATTCTCTTACATAAAGAGACCATATTACTTTATAGTTAAGTTCCCTTGACAAAATAACTGCGCCGATTTTCTGCGAAAGGAAATCGACGGAAGCAGTCATGTGGAAATGATACACTCTGTGCTCTGACTGTCACGCACTGGCATGATTAAAGTCTAATGTTTCTTGTCTTCGACAGACACTTCCTTGCGTACCACTTCGGCAGACTCGATGACCTCGAATCCTTCGGAGGACGAAGTATCGGTGAAGGAACTCGTAGATCCAGACGCTGAGGGCACTGCTTCCGTTTTCGCAACGGAAGCCGATGTAGCGAGCACTGCCGTGTCTTCCGACACTGCGATTTAAGATTTAACGCAACATTGTTTTTTTATTATATACCGCCACATGAAGAAATATCATACTTTGAAGATAATACAATTTATAGAAGTTTTAGATGACAAATATCCGTAATAAAAGTCAAACAATCGGTGTGGTATAAAGAGCGCGCATCAACTGTAAGTCAAACCGCAGCTGTAAATAAATAAACTGGTTCCCGACGCTCGGTAACGCTCGCGCGCGTGTTAAAACGATTATCGATTATCCGAGCCACGAACGCGAAACGAGAGGTGAAATTAAAAGCCCAGAAAAATAATCAGTGCTAGTTGGATCGTTCGAATTGAAACACGATAGCGCGGTATCGCGTGCCAAACTATGTAGGCGCTCCAAAGCGACGAGTGTCAGTGACACAGGATCTACAAAGTGCTCATTCAAAACTCTAAACCGATGAAACGCGCGCGTGATTTCGCGAACCGGCACGCGGAATGCGTAATCACGGAATTATTGACGATTACAATACGTTATACGATATCTCAAAAATTACTCAATATTTCTCTGGTATCGTTGAAGCCCCAAGAGGATCATTTTTCGGCTGTTGGCTTGTCGTTCCGACATAGGTTTTTTTTCGTCGTTCTCAATAATGTGTAAATCTTATATGTTTCATAAAATTAAACTCGCGAAAGCGCAAGTGTCATAGAGGAAAAAGTTTTTTCCTATTGTATAAAGTTGTATAAAAGTTGAAATAGCTATACGTACATACATATATGTATATCTATATATATATAATTAAATGTACCATTTTTTAATTTGTTTCTCTACATTTATAGAAAAAGTATGTTGAGTGTCGAAATTTGATCAAATATACAATATCAAATATCCGATATAGTAAGTTTAATTCGTTTAAGACACTAGGAAATAAAATTTTAATTGATCTAGCCGGTGACTCAATGAGAAATAACGCAAACGCAAGATAAAAATATTGAAATTGACTTACCTCGAACAGAATTGTCTCGACGGTCAGCCGTCGTTGTCGCGGATGTTTGCTCATTATCCGCATTCGCATGTTGTTCCTCCGTATTGCTAGGTTCGAAGTCAAGCTGAGAAAGCTCAGTAATGTAGTTTTGCTGTGTCTGTTCCGTCGTCGGAGGTGTCGACGGATTCGGATTCGACGAAGGTGAAGGCGAAGGAGCCACTGACGGCGATGGCGATGGCGACGGCGACGGCGTTGGCGAAGGTGACGGCGACGACCCCGGACCCGGGGTGGTTGGGGCCGTACTGGGCGTTGCTGGTTGCGCTTGAGGCTGAGCATGATTACGAAACAGGAGCTGCTGAAGTTGCGCCTGCTGCAGAATTACTGGTAGCTCATAGTGATGAAAGAAGTATAGCATTGAGTGCTGAAACAAAAAAAAGAATGACATCTATAACATGCATGGCATTTTGTCTCTCTGTCGCCATATATAATACGCTGTAAGAATTCGCCACTCCCCCTGCATCCATGTGTTGGACACCGTTGGAGAAACCGGAAACAAAAATTCAACCTGGCGAGCTGTATCTCCCGGCACACGTGGCTCTATGCATTCGTTTATTCCGTGTATGTGAGCCGTGTGTGCCGCTCGCGCCTAGCAAATTTATATGGAAATTCACCAAATTCGTTCTACATCAGCGCTCTCTTTCTCCGCAATCGCTTCGAACCTTGTCTCTGCCGATCGGTATCGATCGTGATACGTGCATCGTGATAACGACGACTGCACACACAATAACGCAGCCTCTCTTCACACGTATCGCGCGAAACCAAATCCTCCATTCCTCCATTCCTAAATTGCAAAATCCTACTACTTTATTAAGTAATTTAGGGACGTCTCTTGATTAAACCAAGCACGCTGCGTGCAGTTGGAATTATTTATAGAATTGAGACGTGACAAACTGTGCCAACGAGAACCATCCAATCGCATTTATTTTGACGTTCTTTCTTTTAAGATTGAAAAATCTAAAATGAACAAATAACACGGAGGTATAGAGGTGCAGAGGCTGCAGAGGCTGCAGAGGTAGGAGTGAAGGTGGCGAGCGGATGAGCGAGAAGAAAAATCCTGGATATGGAAAATAGATATCTCGGGTCCGGGCACCTGTCGACGACGCGGAGGAAATGGTATTCTCGGTGATTCGTCGGCAAGAGCGGAACGATTCCGCACCGTTTGAGAAAAAGAAGACTGGTGGGAAGATTGGTGAAGAGCGGGAAGTGGATCCCAAGGTGGATGGGAAAGAATGACGGGAAGCGGAGTGTAGGAACGCGATTGCGGGAACGGGAACGGGAGCGGGATCCGGGTATATCGAGTTTTCGTTTGGTGGATAATCAACGCCAATGACACCGATATCGAATCGGTGTATAATCACGCCGCGGGGCTAATCGGCTGAACTCTGACCTACAGCAACAGCCGGCGAGAGCTTTGCCATCCGGGAATCAAAACGATTCTCGGCCGACGTGCCCCCGGGCTTTTCGAATTTTCCCGCTGCACGGTATTCGTGAACTCGTTGCCAGGAAATAATTGTCGCTCGTTAAACGGTCGATCATGTTAACGAACCTGTAACTCGCTTGTCGAGCAAAGACTGTCATCATCGACGTAGGCTTAAAAAAAAAGCCGCGGTCTATTTACAAAGCATACTTATATTCGATCATATTCTCAAATGTGTCGACATACTATTTTTATCTAGACGCTTTTGAAAAATCACTGCACCACATACGTTTGATAATATTCTATAAAGTAAAAAAAATTATTAAAAATTATTGAAAATGAAATTATATAATTAAATAAAGTTATAATGTACAAACAACAATAACAGATAATTGTTGTAATACTGATATTGAATTTTAAATTTTATAACAGATATAATCTGAAAAATCATGGATTATATTCGTGGAATACATCGTGGAATACATTCTGAAATAATTATCAATTTATTTTATAACGATAAAAATAATTGCGAGAAAAATATGCAATTTTTGATACACTGTATTTCATGTAGAATTTTATCAAAATTATTGCGCTTCGACAAATCTTCTTTACATTAGGCTATTTTTTAGACTAATTTTCAAAATAATTGACATTAAATATGTTCAACAATTGAATGGCGAATACGACATAGTAATGTAATCTTTTTCCCCAGCGCGTAATGATGCAGTATCGCGATGCATTTACACCTTTTATCGAGTGAATTAACCACTCCATTAAACTTTAATGGTATTCAGTTTTTACGCGTGAAATGTACACAGTACATATCGAATGTAGTTATTAACGTAGCGGCTATCTATCGTAACGCCGTTATAATAATACCTGTTAATACGGCCATCGCGATCATCTAATTATAAGTTATTGCGTTATCAAAGTACGCTCTCCAATCAGATTACCCATCGTATTATTGGCATAGCAGGCAAATTTGTTTCTAAAATTCCGGCGGCTTATAGCAAATGTTCTATTACGATCGATCGTTTGTCGTAACTCGATAGATATATACTTGACTTATATACAGAGAGAACGCACTATTATACATATAACCGATGACTCGTCAACGTTGAACATGATGACGCGAAATTCAAAGAGCGAAAAAATCTCAAGTATATATAATCACATTGTCGCGAACAATATGATACAAACGTGAACTGATGACTGATGACAAATGAGAGCAGTAACAATCCACTTCATAGTAGATATAAAAAACAATATAGAAGCGTAATAAATAAAAATAATTCTAAAGTTGCAAATGAGTAAGTTTTAAGGTCAAGAGCATTAGCGTATACATATTCCTAATGGAACAACCAATGGGAAATGACAGTATCTCACGGTTACTTAACGGACTGTTCTTAATGGAAGAAACGGGACACGCCCTTCTCGATGAGAGAACGAGATTCCCGCATTAAAGTATCCTTACGCGCATTTGTATATGGAAAGTGGAAACCAAGAAGCCGCATTAAATTATTTCTATCGATCGAGCTGTCAGGAGCATTGTCCCGGTTGCGTTTACGTAACTTAAGTTTGAGCGATAGCGGCTTTAGGCTATCCAGTCAAGCGACCACGGTCGTGGCACGGCTCGTTCTTCGTCCTGCTACCGTTGCTGTCAATCGCAGGACTCCCAACGGTAGCCGACGAGATCGCATGCAAAATATGCTCCCATTCTCCCTCATCTATCTCAACGCGATTCCTAAAAGCGGAAGTGCAAACTCCGCTTTTCCCGGGTCACACAAATCGGATTCACATTCTATTCTTTTATATGGGCTCGGGACATTATTACATCGCCAAAATCGATAATCAAAAGACGGTTTCATGATACGATTGTTCATCATCGTCATTTTATTATAAACGCTGCTATGCGATGGATAATTAAAAATATAAAGCTTTTTAAATAAACAGCATATTTTTTCAATTATCTCAACGTCTCTTTCATACAATTTCGGAATAAACTTTTTAGTCCAGCAAAGTTTTATGTTTTTAACATTAATTAACGCAATATAGAAACAATGAAAAAGATTAATGTTGCATCAGGCGTACATTTATTTTATCGAAACCACACTGGACAATAAATATAATCTATATCTCTGATATTCTCCGGTATTCTCTCTTTAATGCTTCAATTCAAATGTAATTTATATTGGAAAGCGCAGCAGTATAAAATTTGATTTTTTTGTTCGCAGATTTTAATTCACTCTTACTTTCCGGGCCAATGCACGAAACTTATAGTCGCTTATTTAAACAGATTATTCAGAAGTGAATATAGCGTTCATCAATGATCGTTCATCAATCTAAAAGTCAAATATCGTCCAATTAACGTAATGTGTAGAATGCCTATATTACTGCCCGGAAAGATAGACAAAGAGTACCCATGACACAATTTTTCAACAGTTCAATTGTCGCAGGAGTTTCTTGCTAAACTTAGCCCGACCATATCGACTAAAGTATTCGCAAGTAGGTCACGGAATATTCGTGATCAATGTCCGTTTCAATGCAAAAGAGCAATTTTTCTTGGGCAAACTTTTCTATTTTCCCGTAGGAGTTTCTTTTCTTTTATTATTTTTGTTTTTTAACGCGAAGACGATTGATTCACGATCCGACGGCGCACCACACTTTAATCCCAAAATACACCGCACAAATACTTGTGCCTTACCAAGTACTCGAGTTCGCGCACTTTCACCAAGCAATTTATTCCCAACCGCATTCTTCCTTGATCATACTTTGCGGGACCGTATCAAGGGTAAATTTCTCAAATTTAAATAGAGACTTAATAAAAGAATTTTATATCCGCCGTTTCTCACTGTGACGTTTAATGAAATAACAAAGATCGACGAACGACAACGAAATACTCACCTGTATAAAAAGCCAAGATGTGACCAGCGCCAAACTGCTGTACTGTCCGTTAAATCGATAATGATAGGCGTAAAAAGAGAAGTGATACAGGTAGAAGAATCTGAAACAGAAACGGTATGTACGGCTTAGACAGCTCAGAAATGAGAAAAGAGCACTTACCTAAAAATTAGTACGAAATTAAATACGAGCTTTTGTAATATTGCCGAGACAAATAATAATCGTTATCACGAATGCACATCGCAACGATATATGAATAAATAGCGAATTAAAGCGCCGCACGTACATACGTAAAATTACGGAATGCAGCGAGATTTATCCGTTGATGTACGCGATAATCTCTAAAATCCGTAACAACATCAAGCCACTTAACAGGTTACATAACGTAACGATATACATGGCACGTTCCCACCCCGTGGCAACAATATGGACGAACTATCGATCAGATCGTATCGAGTTTCAGCCTATTGAAATATCGAGGGTGACGCGTTGCGCGGCTAGCGGCTATGCGCCGTTATTACGTCCGAAAAAAATATCGTAGGTAACGCAATATACGTTATCGAACTATAGTGACACGCACAATTCTCATAAAAAGTCAAGTAAAAAGTATCGAAAAGCATTGGAACAATTCTTCGACCGGCATGCAAGCACGAGTATATCGTATTATGAGTAGCTGAATAGTATAAGCTGAATTGGTATAACTTGGAGGTTTTAGAACTATAGGAATTAATCATCTTCAATTTGTGTTCACAGAATCCATAGACAAAATGAAGCTAATATCTATATAGACCTTCTTTTTAAGGATTTCTAATTAATGTAATTAAACAATTCTACAGTTCAATTTAAACTCAAAAACTTCTCGTCAATTTCATATTCCTAAAAATGAATTGTAAAACATCTCTCTCATCACGTTGAGAATTAATTCACTTTTACGGTTCTACGATTAATAAAACGTCAAAATGCGATCTCTTAATCTTCACTTTTGTTACGCTATTTTCTAAATCGCTTTTCAGTCACAAAGCGAAAAGATGCTTTCTTCGTAATAATCGTAATCATCGTTCTACATATTATTCGGACTAAACTAGCCCGATTATTAAATCTGATTATGACCATCAACGATTATTTTAAAAGTTAAAAAAGATGGAATTTAAACTAAAAAATTCTCAGTTTTTGTCATAATTTTGTCACGGTTAAAATTATATACACGAATAACGTAATCTTTTTCACTATATTTTAAATAATTATATAAAAAGAAGCGCTAGAGAGAGAGCGCCTACTTTTTATTGCAATTCTCCGTTGATGAACGACGTTTGGATGATGAAGGGAGGGGTTGTAATCAAGTGATTTTTACGAGGAGCTGTTACGGGGTCGCCAATATTTACGGATCAGGGCGAGGTTGAGGCAACGCCACCACCCTTAACCGAAGAAAGAAAAGCGATCAGCAGGGGTGTGGTGGAGGATGATAGAAAAAGAAGTCCAGGTTTGTAGGTATATCCCTTCGACGAGTACGACGAGTACGACGACTAATTTTCTAGAGTATATGACGAACCTTTAGTGTCTCAATTAACCCTTATATTGGTTACGCGTACCATAAATTATTGTTACATATTGTCATACTGAATAATATTTTACACTTAATAAAACATTTTCGCGATAAAAATACATATTATTTTGTGAACACTGTCAGAGAGATTATAATAGAATTAATAATACATATAAATAAATACATATAGTACAATATGTAAATTAAATTAAATTTATAATAGCATGAAAAAACTTCTAACGACGTTACAAAAAAAATTAGGAAAAAATTAAAAAATAATAGCAATAGCAATAGTAATAGAACGTATAATAATAATAATTAAGAAGACAGTTATACAAATATGCTGCATGCGTCAATATCACGAAATCCGGAAAAAGAACCGCCAAGATTTATATGTATGTGGTATATGCGTAAAAAAAATATTAGATATAATATGCACTTAGAAATTGAGAATCTTCTATTCCTAATGTTGCGATAAAATCATTTGTCCTTAAATAACACGTACGAAATACATTTGTGAGTTCGAAATCTTATGATGTGTAAATTTATGTACGACGGGCGTTGGTTCGTAAACGTTTTGCATTACGTTTTACGACGCTGCCAGTCGTAAAGCGCAGTTTAGGCGGCTGGTGCATCCTATTTTCGTTCGCGACGACACAATCCCGGACAAACATCCAATAAACCCAACCATGTTTTGTTAAGATCAGAAAGGGCCAACAAAATATCGCTATAGTTAAAGCGATGTGTTGATATCGCTTTTTAATTGGTTATATATTGACATAAAGTCGAATGTTGTTAAAAACATTTAAATAAAATATTCATTGTATTCTCTAATGTAATGCCGACAAGTTATATTTTTACACTATAATACGGCGGAATACTGATCAGGGCAGTTCATCTAACTCAATAATGGAAAACTTAATTAATTAAAAATCTATAATTTCTATAAACAGAAATAATACGATAAAAATACTATTCGAAATACAATCGTGAGTCTAATAAATGTGGCGCGCTTGCATAAGAGAGAAAGATGATTTTAATATCCAAAATGCTGAAAAGAATCGCGGCGAAATAAAAGGTGGAACGAATGAAGGTTGGCAGAGGGATGAGAAAGAATGCGCCACCGAAATCCCACGTTACGTATTCCGGGGACATAAGCTCTAAAGTGTCCCACGCTCAGGGAACCGCAACCATCCGACGACGATTCATACGTCTTTTCTGGAAAAAGGGGTGGGCAAAGAAGGAGCTGGAGACTCTCCAAACGCATTCTGAATTCATTGAATAGTGCTACCCCACCGAAGAATGGCAGGGGTTACTTTCGGACTTGAAACGGACTCTGAACAAGTCCCAAGCCGCCCGACCCGCGCCCGATGCAACCGAGAAACTTTTCATACCGCGTAATGCTCAAACCATAGTTCCATTAATGTCGGAAATCGCTCGTCGAGAATGCAATAATAATTATCATTCGATTACAATGCGATTAATCAAGTTAGTAGCGCAAAATCGCTTTATCGACTAATTGCATGTGTTTACTATAACGATGTATCAACGCTTGCCGCGTTATTTACTTTGTTAAGAGTAGGATTCCCACTGCCGAGTGTTAATAGGAAATGTCTATCACATAAAAATGTAAATTATATCTTCAAAACGTTTAATTTTAATACGTACATCAAAAAAATGTTTTTGCATGTCTATTTCTTCGTCAAAGAAAAAAGGTTAGTATATAAGATGTAACGTGGAAGAAGAAACACTTATCCCCGAAAATTTACGTCATCGCTCGAAATGGTCATGAATTTATGATATTATAGGTCTTTTACGTCGCAGATCGTACGAAAGAATATTCACTAGGGCATACTTTTCTTATCCTCGCCTTTGGCCGGATGCAATTCGTAACAATCAGTTTCGGCATACGTGTGACAGATTTACAATATAAGATTTACAATACGAAAGGTAGAATTCAAAAGAAGCATCGTAAAATAAATCCAATAAATATATTATATTTCAAGAAGCCCTGTATTCTCTTATTGGACAAAGAATTAATAAATAATTAAATTATATATTATAGTTAATTATATGTATAACAGAATTAAGATGAAATGTCACACAATCATAATTATAATAATACTAACAACCAAATAATACGACCAACCAAGAATTAAATCATTCTTATCAATCTTATCCGAATTCTAATAAATTTCCGTTCATAATAATACAAAATAAGTTGTTGTAGGTAGGTAAGCCATATTCTTAAAACTGTTTTAACTTAAAGCTGCAGTTTGTAAATTATATTTACAAACCTACCAACTACCACTACCAGATCAATACTATTATCTTTAGTACACAGATTGTTTCAATAAAAAGATTAAAAAGTAATTGTATTATATTTGATTAGCACATGGCGCGCATCCGATCACGAGAGTAAAACTGTACGCTTGTCTAAGAAATTGCTCGTGTTTTCTTTCGGAGAACGGTATCTTTCGAAAATCGCTTACTTTCACACAAGTGAATGAACGAGGAAGAGCGAAACGAAAGAAAAGGAAGAGTAGAAAGATTCCGCGGCGATGTTCCAGCGAACAGAAGAGGGTCGCGCTTTAACGGCGGTGGCACAGGATGGAAACAGGAAGACGGAGAGGGTGTAGCAGTCTCCATAACTGTACGGTCCACTCGGCTAACGTAAGTATATTGTCAATCAATCCATGGTATAAAAGCAATCTGAGCTTCGGACGACGGGGTGGCGGGTTCCCGCGGGGCGTAGAACCAAGGGACTAAGGTGAAGCGATGGAAGAGAGGTGAGTGCAAACAATCCCCCACGCGTTCGTTTCGAAGAAAAGGAAAGAGGATGACGAGGAGGGAAGGAAGAAGGAAGGAAGGAAGGAAGGAAGGAAGGAACAAGTCCTTTCCTCTGGCCACTCGAAAGACCCTATCCAACAAGTAGGATGAAACGAAACTCGCAGCGCCCCAGTATCAGTCTCGTACACATATATGTACACACATGCGTCTGTGTACGCGTATATCTATATGTATACAGGATGCCTCAGAAGTTATACGCCCTTCTCGACCATAAATAAATACATTAGATATTGTAATGTCATATGAGCAAATGTTCACGATGAATGTTAACAATTACGGGGATTAATAATTTCAAACAATTCTCTGCTAAGAGAAACTAGAACAAATTAAAAATGTCTGACAAAAAAGAGTGAGTGATTCCTGAGCGATCCTGTATAATGTAGAGGTTTACGTTAGTGCAAGCGAGTCTGTATGCATGTGTACGTGTGCGGTCAACCCGGCGTGACCGGGCGGATGTGGCCGATGCGCGATGGTAGGATATATCCGAAGAAGCTGGTGGAGGGTTCTAGCGTTCTCAAGGCGACGCGGTGTTCTGTTCACGGGAAAGCCCCGAGTGCTGAGAAAATATATCGGTCTGACCGCCAAGAGACGACGACGACGACGACAACGACAACGACGACGACAACGACAACGACAACGTCGCTGTCGTACGATCGGATTGATAGATCTTTCGAAGAATCTTCCTAAAAGTTGGAAAAAGCAGGATACTG